GAAGCAACCCCTGTTAAAGAAGCAACCCCTGTTAAAGAAGCAACCCCTGTTAAAGAAGCAACCCCTGTTAAAGAAGCAACCCCTGTTAAAGAAGCCGCCCGTGTTAGGGAAGCCACCCCCGAGGAATCCCCCACGCACCTCCAGGTCTGCGTGCTGGGCGAAAGGAACTGCGGGAAAACGACTCTAATCGAGGCCATCCTGAGACGGCCCATCGTGCGTGAGCAGGACGTTGTGGAGCTGTTTGGGCGGAAGAAATACATTAACAAGGATTTGACCACACATCACAGAAATGTAGAAGTAAGAGTAGCGGACACGTGCAGCTTAACGAAGCAACACCGATTCAGAGGGGAGGACACTTACCACGATGAAGACAAACAAGTCTTTACAAATATACACAAAAGCGACCTATGTGTGTACGTAAAGGAAGCCAAAGAAAATAGCATAAGTGTAAGTAAAGAGGATAAGAAAATTATGTTTTACCTTTTGAGGAAAAAAAAAAATATTATCGTCGTGGTGACTAAAATCGATACCATCCTAACCAAATTTGAAGAAAAAAAAAATGAATTCCTGTCGTCCTTCTCGTCTTCCTTCCATGACATCCCGGTGGTCTTCCTAAACCCAAACAATCACATGCATGTGCAGACTTTACTTAACCGGATGGTTCATATACATAAGATGAGTCATGTACGTATCCCCACTTCAACCCTAAATCTGTTTTTAATTAGGTTCCTTCAATTATTTCCTATCCCTTGGGTAAGGAAAAAGAAATGCAGCTTCAAGTACATTAGACAAGTCAGTAGCAACCCAGTTACCTTCCTCATCTTCACCAACCTCTACCAGAAAATTCCGAACAATTATTTGTCGTTTTTTAAAAAAAAATTAAAAGACGAATTTCATTTGAGGAGCGTGAATATTCAGTTGATCTTTCGTACTACTTGTGATAATTCAAACGCCAGGCGCAGTCGGTTTGTGCGCGCTGGGGGAAAGACCACGTAACGGAAGAAAAAAAAAAAGGAGTAACTGCGTATAGGCATGTAACCGCGGGAAGTCTGTTTTTAAAGGCTTCTTTTCCTCACCACAACCCCATTGGGGAAATTTTTTTTTTTTTTTTTTTTTTTTTTTTTTTTTTTTTTTTTTTTTTCTGCACCTGTAAATCACCAACAAGGGTTAAAACCAAAACAAAGGGAACGTAAATACATTTCGACTCCACAAACGTAAACTTTGTGAAGACGGCTTTTACTCCTCTGCACAGTTTTCATTCGACGCACTTGCGCCGCTTTCGTGCGCATTGGGGGGACCTTCTGCGAGTGTCTCCTCAGCGTCCACAGATTTGCGTTCCTCTGCTTGGTTCCCTTCGTTCGCATCTGCATCTGCACCTTCCCCCGTGTCTTCACCCTGGGTGCTCTCTACAGCGGCGGTGCACTCGACACGTTGGCTTTTCTGCTCCACAAGTTCTTCCACGGGTTCTTCCTGTACCGGTACTTCATTTTCCATGGGTTGTTCCTGCACAAATGCTGCGTCCACGTGTGTTTCCTCCACCGGTGCTTCATTTTCCATGGGTTCTTCTTCCACAGGTGCTTCTTGCACGTGTATTTCTTCCTCCACAGGTACTTCATTTTCCACAGTTTCTTCTTCCACATGTATTTCTTCCTCCACATGTATTTCTTCTTGCACCTGTACTTCTTCTTCCACCGGTACCTCATTCTCGACCTGTACTTCTTCCTCCACAGGTACTTCTTCCTTCACAGGTACTTCTTC